CCGGCAAACGTAGTTTTGCTTTATCCATATTGCATCAATATAAGTTTGGTAAAAACCATTTTCCACGAAGTTTATGTCAATAAAAAGTATTAACTGGTACCCCAATGCAGGCCCAAGCACTTAACAGTTTATAATTTTGTAGAACTTATTCCACCAAAATTGTTTTCAATAGAAGGTCATGTTTTGTTATTGCTTCAATATTTTTAATTACCTAATTTTTCCCTTCTTGAAGGATTCTTAATTATAATATCATATTGTTCATGTCCAAAATTTTAGATAGGACATAGAAATTTTTTTTTGTGTAATCCGATTTTTATATCCTCACATATTTTTAGAATTTGATTTAAATTTAACGCTTAATCTTTACTTTACCATGTCTTACTGTGTTTTATTTGAGAAATATTTCACAACCTATACATACCATGCAAATTGCCTCACATAACATAACTTATATTTTCAAATTAAATAAATCTTGATTTTATGGAAAACGTGAGCAAATAATGATAGCGATAAATCTTAGTCCCAGCCGTTTCTTTAAAATATTTTTTGCAAGATTTTCGCGGATTTTTCTCAAAATATTCTTTCATAAAAACCTTCTCACTGTAATTACCGACAACTGAAAGAAATTTTGAGTCAAATAGCTTATTTAAAGTAAGGTCGAAGAAGATAGGGTTACCAAATGTTCCGCTCAAATCAATCAACAAATTATGATATTACAGAGTCTTTCATACATATATTTCATGTTTCGAATAATAAAATATATAAAAAATAATAATAAAATTACCGTTAGAATTAACAAAATTACTATAAACGACAGAAACAATGTTAAAAACGAATACAATTTATATTGTATGGCAACACTATTTCTGCAAAGTGTCATGTTGACGTTTATTTTTGTCACAGTTCGAAAATTTCAGTTATTCGCAACATAAAATATTTTTTCCATTCCTTTTTCGAGTAAATGTCAACTCGGCGATGTTAGATATTTGTCGAAACTTCAATTTATTTCCTAGATAAGACCACAAATTCTCTATTACGTTTATATCGGGGTACTTTGGAGACGTTTCTATAAGGTGGGGGCAATTATATAATAAACACATACGCCTTGTGCTTTGGGCCATTGTCTTGGTAAAATTGAAAACAGTCCGAAATTACAATTTTTTTCGATTTTTTTAGAATCGATATATACTTATAATGATCCATTATACGATCAATAAATAGCAACTGACCAGTTGAGTTAATCTTAGTGCACTTAGTTTCTGATATTGTTTATTTTATGCATTAGAAGGAGAAAACTTTTTTGGTTGTCCTGACTAAAAGCGAATTTACATATAACATTTAATCATGATTAAAGGCTGAATCAGGGTTTATTTTCTTAATCAGGCTAAATTTACCATGATTTACCACACAAATTTAAATCATGGTGCAGCAGGATTTATTTTAAATCATGATCGAAATCATGATACTACTGAGATGCAACGCGGGTTTTGTACGAAAAAATACAACTCTCTCACAATGTACCAAAATTTGCAACAGTTTTTACATGCCGTTTGTTTTTAAATTTAACGGCTGACAAATACTAAAATGACAGATCAAAGGAAAATAAAAATTAATTATAGAATTTTTGTGTTTTTAGGTGTTTTTTTTTTACTTTCCAAACGATCACAGTATTGCAAAAACATTTCCATTGTGGTAATTCTTCTATTCTTTTTCAAATTGCAAACATATATTTTTGGCGCAAATTAATACTTTTGTATGTATACTAACAAACATCAGCTGATCGGCATTTAGATCATGATTAAGGGTATGTGTAAACAATTAGGGTGAATTTCTGGATTTCGTTAATCGAGTCGATTTAAAATCGTATATGTAAATGTACTTTAAGGCTTATTTTCCACAGAATTGCCACTATAAAAGCATTTTATAATGGCATGGACCGTAGAATGACTTCATTGAACAGCAGAACCTATATCACGCACAGATAACCCATTTTGATAATACTTTTTGGACAAAAAAATAATTCTTGTAAAAGTTGTTTAGCTAAACTTTCTTCTTATTGCGTCTACTAAATGTTAAAAAAAATTGCATCGAAAAATGTTAATTTAGGGAATAAAGGATTTGACTTATCTGCACAACCAACACTTGCAATTATTTTTGTAAAGGAAAATCAAAACTGCAGATCTCTTAACTGCCTCAACGTGCACGTCAGTGAAATTACTGTATAAAAATGTTAAATTTTCTGGAATACGCGGCCAGCGCTAATTACCTAATAATAAGCAGTATTTTTATTTTTAAGATTTATTACAATAAAAGCTATAGCCCTTGCGTGTGGTCTTCGACGATGTATAAAAAAATCAAATTTTTAATTTGATATTCCCTGTGTAGCTTATGGCAAAATACAAGTATTCTGAGTTGTTATCATAAATGTGCAGCAATGAATTGTGCGCTTAAACGATATTTGAGAGAGAATTTGCGAACCAAAGAAGTGCATTTTGGGCAGCTAAATCCAAAGTGCAGCTATGTACAAGGCAGCTAAATAAAAAATACTGTACCCACTTTATGTAGCTACCACGTGTCCGGTTATTAATTTGAGGTTCTATAATGTCAGTTTCTTATAAAATTAAGATACTGTTAGTTAAAAGAAAAAATTGGGCTCATACAGGGTGAGATGAAAAAACTGCAACCAACTTCAGACTGCTGTCATTTCTAAGCCACCGAAAGCTGTTAAAATTTTTCCAGTACAAAAGGATTTTGGTAAAAATTTTCCAGAAAAAAGTTATTCGTGATGGAACCGAAAGAAAATAGACTGAAAAGAGCTAAAGAGCATGGCCGAAAGTGGTGAACTGCCGAAATTGGTTCTCTTTGATGAGAAAACATTCGTTGTCCAGCAGTTTGTAAACAAACAAAATGATCGTGTTGCCAAAGAGGACAGCTGAAAATGTGAACCTTCGGTTGGGCATCAAAGCTCAAGCGCCGGCCATGGTGACGGTAGGTCTTCGCTCGTATTAATCGAATATCATCAGAATAAATGCTTACTATTACCGCGAAAATATTCTGGAGGGTGTATTAAAGCCTTGGGCACGCAAACATTCTGGCCGCAGACCTTGGACATTCCAACAAGACCATCCTGAGTGCGATGGTGAACGCGAAGAATGGTTACAAAATGGGGTTCCGCGCTCCATTTCCAGCGCACAATGACCACCAACATCTCCTGATACCAATCCGTTGGACTATTGTGTCTGGAGTATTTTGGAAAGCAAGGTTGGCACTAAAAAATACCAAAGTGTCGATCACCTCAAGCAAGCGCTTCGCCGGGAATGGGACAAAATACCGCAGAGCAACAATCGAGCAGCGTGTGATGGTTTCATTGAAGGCCATAATTCGCGCCAAAGGTGACCAGTTCGAAAAAATCTAAACTTATTCTAAAATTTTACGCTATTTCCGACAGTTTTGCTTTCATTCAATAAATTTTAAAAACGAAGTGTAAAAATTATGGCGCTTGACTTTGTTGCAGTTTTTTAATCTCACCCTGTATTTCTTTGTTACAAACGGATTGTATAAAAAAAGATGTTTAATGTAGATTTTGCAACTGCCCGGTTATTAAATTAAGCCACTTCAGCTATCAGAAGACAAAGGAGGCAGTCTGTGTTGCCGGCAAATATAAACCCTATGCCTATGGTTTGCGGATGTCAACGAAATTTCAGTCTAGTGTTGAAATGGAACATTTTTTATTAAATGCAAAATGTTTCAAAAGTGTGACAGTTTGTGTGAGAGGTACCACAAATGACTGACCTATGTATCCGATTAAAGTCTGCTATGTTTAAATAACCCACGATTTTAACAATTTATAGGAGAAACAAAAAACAAATTTTACACATCACTACGAATCAACGACAACAAATGAGGTAATTGTAAAACATGAATGTATCGAAATCTCAGCGATATTGAGAATTAGAACAGTTTTCTTCACAAAAACAAAATGAAGTTACTAATACGAGTCAAAAAAGGCCTACTTTACTAAGAGTTTGTACATATCAGCATAGATAGTATGTGCCAAAATTTCTAAAGGTGTATGCAGAAGATATTTATGATAGGCTATTCAATGAAGTGTAATCTCGTATGTCGTCTAATAGTGATGAAGATATACCAAAGGTAGGCAATGTTAAACATTTTGAAGTAAAATTAAATGAGGCAATTGCATCTGCAACTTAGAATGGAATTAGCTTTATATGAAGTGAGTAACATTATCCATACTCTTTACCAACTTCTGCGGACATTTTTGCAACAAAATAAGAAACCGAAAACCTAGCGACCTATTAAATGAAGCCATCAACTTTATCTTCAATACCAGCCGCTTCTAACTCGTACGTCAGGGTTAAATGTTTTTCCTCACATGGACAATTTTTGACAATGCTCCAAAATCTGCTTCTGCGTAAAATTATTTTAGTTAAATTCGATCTAAAATATATACATACATACATCAAAAACGTTTGCTTACATTTCCTACTTGCTGTCTGCGATAGTGGTGACAATATATTTAAATTGAGATAATTGAATACGGGAGGACAATCAGGAGTCTTGTAATTACCTCATATAATAACACCAAGATTAATCTGACACATATCTATTAAGCAAACTGCATTCACTGTTCATAACCTACAAGCCTTACCTTCAACACAAACAAGCATTCATTTCATTCAGAATATTGTTTTTTTTATTAGTTTTCAGTTTTATTGTCAGCTCATAGTTGTTGTAAATAAAATTGGCAACAGAACGACGACATGCTTCCACTACCAATAATAATAAAATATATAATAATAATAATTATATCTTTATAAATTATAAAAAATAGTAATAGTAATATGATATATATTTTTTATAAGAACGCGACATTTACAAATAACTTATTACGACTTTAAACAGCAGCACACTCAGTGCTGTCAACATTGATAATTGGAAAGTGGAACTCGAATTACATTCGGAATATAGGCAAATGTTACATTTTTCCAGAGGACCGCCTAAATTTTCTGAAACAACGTCACATGCTGACTGTATTGGTGTTGTTGCCACACAACCTTTTTTCATAATGCTCTGGCCCGCATCTATTTTTCGGGGGGAGGGGAAAAACATTAATATTCCATTAGTATTTGTGCGGAACTATAATCGAAAGTATAAACGAACTTACCTTGATATTTAATTGTGTAACAGGCAAATCTGTTATCGGTTACGGGTGGATTTAGGGGATTTTTTGTTGTTGATGTGGTACTTGAACTGGCAGTTGTTGGAGGGGGTGTAGGTTCAGATGACGAAGGGGATGTCGTTATTGGGGACGATGTTGGTTCGGAAGTAGAAGTTGTTGAGGATGATGTTGGTTCCGAAGTAGATGCTGTTGTTGAAGATGATGATGGTTCCGAAGACGATGATGTTGTTGAGGACGATGTTGGCTCCGAAGTGGATGGTGTTGTTGAAGACGATGTTGGTTCGGTAGTAGAAATTGTAGAGGATAATGATGGTTCCGAAGAAGATGATGTTGCTTCCGATGTGGATGCTACTGTTGAGGACGATGATGGTTCCGAAGAAGACGCTGTTGTTGTGGACGATGTTGGCTCCGAAGTGGATGGTGTCGATGATGTTTCTACCGGAGAAGAATTTGTTGTTGAGGATGATGCTGGTTCTGAAGTAGATGATGTTGTTGAGGACGATGATGATTCCGAAGAAGATGATGTTGGTTCCGAAGAAGATGATGCTGTTGAGGACGATGCTGGCTCCGAAGTAGATGCTGTTGTTGAGGATGATGATGGTTCCGAAGAAGATGATGTTGTTGAGGACGATGATGATTCCGAAGAAGATGATGTTGGTTCCGAAGAAGATGATGCTGTTGAGGACGATGCTGGCTCCGAAGTGGACGCTGTTGTTGAGGATGATGATGGTTCCGATGAAGATGATGTTGTTGTGGACGATGCTGGCTCCGAAGTGGATGCTGTTGTTGAAGATGATGATGGTTCCGAAGAAGATGATGTTGCTTCCGATGTGGATGCTGTTGTGGAGGATGATGATGGTTCCGAAGAAGATGATGTTGTTGAGGACAATGCTGGCTCCGAAGTGGACGCTGTTGTTGAAGATGATGATGGTTCCGAAGAAGATGATGTTGTTTCCGATGTTGTTGTTGAGGATGATGACGGTTCCGAAGAAGACGATGTTGCTTCCGAAGTGGATGCTGTTGTTGAGGACGATGATGGTTCCGAAGAAGACGCTGGTGTTGATGACGATGTTGGCTCCGAAGTAGATGCTGTTGTTGAGGATGATGACGATTCCGAAGAAGATGCGGTTGTCAAGGATGATGTTGGCTGCGAAGCGGATTCTGTTGTTGAAGATGCATTTTCTCCGGTTACATCTCTCCGTCTTCTTGCATGTAGTCTATAGTTTCTACTCTCTGGAGTGGATAGTGTTGAAGGGGCTGCAGTTGTTACGCCATCATTTTCTACCGAACATGTTACAATTTCCATCGTATCTTTTGATCCACAATTATCTCCATGACACTGGTAGCAACGGAAGTCATCTCCAAATGCTGTAAAACGATATTGAAAGCAATAAAAAACAACGTTTGGAAATTCGTCCCGACCTATTATTTGTTTTAGTAGACTCAAAAAAGGATATATATATATATAGTCTATTAAGGTCCCTTTGTTATGTACCCTCCCAGTTTGATTTTTCATCTAATGTTGCCGTTTTTTTTTCATTTTATACTTTCCCAAAAAAAACCTTGAATTTTCTCTAAATAAAGGTACCAACCGATTTTAGGAAATTTCCTTTGATCATCAATGTCAATGTATCGAGATATCTCTGCCCTAATTTCGACCCAAGGATGATGGAATTGGTCGAGTCCTGTCATTGTTACTTTTAAGAAAGTAGCCAAATTCGAATTTTTGTGATTTCTTTGGATTATTAGGCGGAAATTCAGTTTATGAACATTTCTATGTGGAGGACTATATCAAAGCTGAACGAATTATAAATTTCGTTTCATTTGTCTAATTTTTTAACAGAAAGTATTTCATAGTTTGAACGTAATTTAAATCACCTTGAGTAGTTAATGCTACGACACATATAAACAACACAATTCGGAACTGCATTTTCTTCTTTCGTCACTAATAATAATAATACACAATTTATTTTTTTTTCGATTTGTTTTCCCGTTGAATTTTCAATTGCAACTAAATGCCAATTATTTACAAAGTATTTTCTTCGATATTGGTCAATTGATAAACAAAGTCTTTCATAAATTGCAGAAATTTGTAACAAAAGCCCCCATGTAACACATATTGGGAATACATGCATGCTTTTATCAAAGATAAGAAACAACGACAACAAAGCCAAATATTTTCAAATCATCCAGAAATCCCCCTAGATTAATATGACCCATTAAAAGGCGACACGAGAAGTTGATAATTGATTCCAATGAAAAAATCAAATAGCAGTTTGTCTACAGCACGATTTTTTATTGGTTGTCAAAAGGGGGGTATATTTAGAAGTATAGCCATTTCGATTTCTAAATATTAGTCGGAAATTACATTAACTTAAATTCTATGTAGAAGTGAACCACTGACTTGAAACACGACATTTTAGGGGAGACACGATAAGAACTATAGAATCGTAAAATATTTTTTTTTTTATAAATAAATTTCATTGGTTTACATGTGAAATATATGGATCTATGCGAATTAACCTTGAACTTTACCTACTTCTTTGACGAAAATTTTTGTATATGAGTAATTGATGGATTTTTAATTGGCATACGATAAGAACACAAAGAAATCATATTCGATGAAAGGAACACAAAAAAAAAGTAATTCTTTTCTTCCTAGAACAGAATATCAATGTAAAAAACGTTTTTTTTTTTTGTTATCAAATTATTTATTGTGCATATACTAAATTCCAATGGAATTCGATAGAATACATTAGATGATTTGGTATTAACAAGAATTTCTAAATTAGTTAAAGCAAATATGCACCATTTCGTTTTATGATTTGTTGCCATTTATAATGCCTCTCTCATAGAAGTCCTGCTTCTCCCCAGATACCAATTTTTTATCATTAAAAAATTTTGCAATGCAAGAAAAAGATGATAATCGCTTGGTGCCAAGTGCGGACTGTATGAAGGATGCATTGAAACTTCCCAACCAAGCTCCCGAAGTGTCTCGCGAGTCACTGTAGATGTGTGTGGCGTAGCGTTGTCCTGGTGGAACACGACACTTCTCCTGTTGGCCAATTCTGGTCAATTACTATCTTCAAACGGTCTAGGTGTTGACAGTAGCGATCAGAATTTAGCGTTTCGCCATATGGTAGCAACTCATAATAAATAATCCCTTTCCAATCCCACCAAATGCATAGCAGAACCATCCTGGCCATTAGTCCTGGTTTGGCCACCGTTTGGCCACGATTGCGTAAACGAGCACAGGGTCATCGTATGTGTTTAAGAAATGGGCTATCTCTCCGTTTGGCCAAGGCTTCGCAGATGGAAATTCGATCCATCCTATTTTTTCTGTTAATTGGTGTGGCACCCAACCACCGAGCTTCTTTTTGAATCCAGCTTTGTGTAAATGATTTAAAACTGTTTATGGTAGATTTTTAGCTTCTGGGCGATGCTACGACTACCGGTCATGCCGGTCAACTTCGATTATTTCTCTGTTTTATCGACCAACGGCCTAATGAATTTCTTTTTCCGCAAGCTAATATTTTTCTTGAGCGCGTTTTCAACCGAATCCCCTGTAATTTGGTAGTTTGTAGTCATATGTAGTAACAAATCTCCCTACCAAAAATTATTAATATTCACCCCCTTTAACTATTGTAATATAAATAATATAAAAAGGGGTTATATGGGGACTACCCCTATATTGTATTAAAATAGTTAGCTGAATTTTTCCGTGTGTTGGGGTTGTCACCCCATTCTATTCTTCCATAGTATGGACTATACTCGGAATAGTCAGTTTTTACCCTACAAAGTGTGGAATTCTAAGACGATTTAGCCATACGTTTTAATCATTCCGCCTTCTAAAGATATCGTGATAAAAAACTCGAACCTGACAATAATGAAATATATTGGCAGACATATAGGCATCTCCTCCATATAATGATACCTCCTGAAGGAAAGCACTCATATAATGATAATCCCAAATGTTCGTTACTTCCTACACTATGTAATCAATATTGGTCCCCCTTAGTCATTGACTCATATAGCTTTGTAAACTAAATTACAGTTGTTAGAGGATTTTATACTCTAGAATGCGATATCCCATTAAACATTGCTGAAATTTGTATTTGGTCCACTTTTTGGTATGTTCTCAATATTTTCATTGGAAGTATCTGTCAGTATATGTATGGTGGGGGGTATTCAAAGTTCGGCTCGGCCGAACTTAACGTTTTTTTTTTTTACCTTCATACGGTAATTTTTTTGTGTCTGAACCATTAATATTAAACTTTAAGTCATCCGAGAACATAATATTTCTCCGCTGAGTCCGATTCCAATTAATATGAGTTTTTGCGAAAGACAATCTAAATAAAAGAACTTTCGTGTCCCAGTTACATGAAATTCCAAGAAGTTATATAAATCTAAACTGATTTAAGGGAAGAATAATTTATTCTTTTCGATGCGGTCATGCTTGCCGTTCACTAGAAAGACCACATATCTGACACTAGGTTGAACTAGGATTATTGACTTGCTCAAAAAGCTATTCTTTTGAAAATCGTCATTTTTGACGAAAAACAAAGCTGGAAAATAGGGAAAATTCTCACTGATAGGATGAGAATAAAATATGGAACCGATTGGATTATCGTGCCGTCAATAGTAAAAACACTGTTTCGAGAAAAATAGGAACTATAACTTTACTATTGGTCTGTTCCTGTACTGCAAGAATCTACGAGTTTTTTCAATTTTTTCGATATCATAAAGGAAAAAAGTGTTTTCGTAGTAGAAAATAGAATCACTTTCTCAGTCGATTTATGCATGTCCGTCCGTCTGTTGGTGTTAAATTGTAAACAAAGTACTGGTCGCATTTATAATCCGAATTGGATAAAGTTTGGCACAGCTCATTTATTTGACCCAAGGACGAACCCTATTGAAATTGGGAAAATCGGTTCAGATTTAGATATAGCTCCCATATACAGTTTCGTCCGATATTAGGTCCAGATTTAGATATAGCTCCCATATATAGTTTCGTCCGATTTTATATAAACGGTGCACGGAAGACCCTATATATCCTTCGATTTGCACGAAATTTGGCACAGCGTACTGAATTGAGTCTAGAACGATGTGTGTTAAATTTCGTGAAAATCGGTTCAGATTTAGATATAGCTCTCATATATATTTTCGTCCGATTTTATGTAAATGGTATCCTTCGATTAGCAAGAAATTTGCCATAGCGTAATGAATTAGGTCTAGAATGATGTGTGTTAAGTTTCCTTAAAATCGGTTCAAATTTAGATATAGCACCCATATATAGTTTCATCCGATTTAAGTTAAATGGTGCACCAAAGTCCCATATATATTTCGATTTGCACGAAATTTGGCATGTTGTACTGAATTGAGCCTTGAGTGATGTCTGCCAAGTTACGTGAAAATCGGTTCAGATTTAGATGTAGCTCCCATATATATTTTCGTCGGATTTAATGTAAAAGGTGAACCAAAATCCCTATAAATCTTTCGATTTGGACGAAATTTGGCATAGTCTGAAATGATGTGTGCTGAGTTTCGTGAAAATCGGTTGAGATTCAAATTTTCGTCCGTTATAATGTAAATAATGTACCAAAGAACTTATATAGCATAGCGTACTGAACTTAGTCCATGATGATGTGTGCCAAGTTTCGTGAATATCGGTTGAGATTTAGATATAGCTCCCTTATATTATAGATTGGTTTTAAATAATTGACGTACCAAGGAATCAATATATGACTGATAGGAACAAAACGTACTGAAATTAGTATAACCTAACCTGTGACAAGTTTCGTTGAAATCGGTTCATATTTGGATATAGCTTCCATATATATTTTTATCTGATTTTAAGTAAATGGTGCATTATACTTCTCATGTTTGTCATATTGACATGAAATTTTGCACAACGTACAAAATTGAGCATAGAATAACGTAGTACAGACATAGGCCACTTTTGACCCATTGTAACAAACCAATGACATGTTTATGGATTGATCTAAGTTTAGATAAATATCACATATTTTAGTTCACGCAATTTCATGTTAATAGTTCTGTTTAATATACCCATAGTGGTGAAGGGTATCATATAGTCGGCCCCGTTCGACTTTACTACTTTCCTTACTGGTTTATTTTAATTTTTAACAAAATAAGTATTCGCAAATATTCGCAATACCGCACACCAACAATAATGATAAATACAACGAGTATAACAAACAATGTCTAAGTATTTTTAACTTCTTTAAAAAATCTCTTTAGATTAGTATGGCGCTTGAGAAGTAGACACTATTGTCGTCGTCTAAC